GCGGCGCAGTGCCCTTCGCAGCTGGCGCGGCGCATCGCGCACCTGGAGTCGGACGTGGCGCAGCTCAGGCCGCCGCTCGCCATCGGCCTCTCGCCGGCGGCGGGCTCGCCAGCGGCGGGCTCTCGGCGGCTCTCGGCGGGCCTTCGGTGGCCCTCGGCGGCCCAGGCAGCGGCGTGGAGGGCGGCGGCGGCATCGTCGGCATCGGCACGGCTTCGTCGTCGTCGTCGTCGTCGTCGTCGTCGTCGTCGTCGTCGCCGTTGTCAGGCCGTCGTCGCCGTTGTCAGGCCGTCGAAGTCGAAGTGTGGTCAGAGTCAGCCGGCAGTTTTGCTTGCTGTAAAATGTGTTCCCAACCATCCTGTGGTGCTGGATCTTCGTTTTGAAAAGACAGCGCCCCGCGTCTCCTCCTCCTCCTCCTCCTCCCCTCCTCCTCCTCCTCCTCCTCCTCCTCCTCCTTCTCTCCTCCTCCTCCTCCTCCTCCTCCTCCTCCTCCTCCTCCTCCTCCTCCTCCTCCCTTCTCCCGTTCTTGCCTCTGCCCTCCGCATGTCAACCATTTCGGCACACACCTCACGAGGATCGTGGCCCTATAGGGAGCTCCGCCGAGGGCCCCAGTGGCAGGGTTCGCATGGCGGCCTCGGGCTATTCCCGCACACCCCTCACGAGGATCGTGGCCCCATAGGGAGTTCCACCGAAGGCCTCGGTGGCAGGGTTCACATGGCGGCCTCGGGCGATTTCAGGACACCCCTCACGAGGTTGTGGCCCCATAGGGAGCTCCGCCGAAGGCCCCAGCGGCAGAGTTCGCATGGCGGCCTCGGGCCATCGCCGCACACCCCTCACGAGGATCGTGGCCCCGTAGGGAGCTCCACCGAAGGCTCCAGTGGCAGGGTTCACATGGCGGCCTCGGGTGATTTCAGCACACCCCTCACGAGGATCGTGGCCCTAAAGGGAGCTCCACCGAAGGCCACAGCGGCAGAGTTCGCATGGCGGCCTTGGGCTACTTCGGCGCACCGCTCACGAGGATCGTTGCCCCATAGGACGCTCCACCGAAGGCCCCAGTGGTAGGCATCGTATGGCGGCATCGGGCCATTTCAGCACACCACTTACGAGGATCGTGGGCCCACAGGAAACTCCACCGAAGGCTCCAGTGGCAGGGTTCGCATGGCGGCCTGGGGCTATTTCGGCACACTCCCCACGAGGGTCGTGGCCCCACTTCTGATGAGAGGGGCATATCCTGCGATACTGGCAGCTGCATACGGACTGGTCCCTCGCCAAGCTAGGTTTGTTCTCTGTCAGTCGATTGTGGGACGAGTCATCCCATCCCTGCCTCTGCCCATTCCTGCCCCTGCGCTCCGCATGTCAACCATCTCGGCACGCTTTCGCACGGTTCGTGGCCCGCTAGGGAGCTCCACCGAAAGCCTCAGTGGCAGGGTTCGCATGTCGGCCTCGGGCCATTTCGGCACACCCCTCGCGGGGATCGTGGCGCCATAGGGAGCTCCACCGAAGGCCTCAGCGGCTGGGTTCGCATGGCGGCCTCGGGCTATTTCGGCACACCCCTCACGAGGATCGTGGCCCCATAGGGCGCTCCACCGAAGGCCCCACTGACTGGGTTCGCATGGCGGCCTCAGGCTATTTCGGCACACCCCTCACGAGGATCGTGGCCCCATAGGGAGCTCTACCGAAGGCCGCAGTGGCAGGGATCGCCTGGCGGCCTCGGGCTATTTCGGCACACCTCTCACGAGGATCGTGGCCCCACAGGTAGCTCCACCGAAACCGCCCCAGTGGCAGGGTTCGCATGGCGGCCTCGGGCTGTTTCGGCACACGCCTCACGAGGATCGTGGCCCTATATGGAGCTCCACCGAAGTCCCAGGGGCAGGGATCGCATGGCGGCCTTGGACCATCTCTGCACACCCCTCACGAGGAGCGTGGCCCCATAGGGAGCTCTGCCGAAGGCCCCACTGGCAGGGTTCGCATGGCGGCCTCAGGCCATATCGGCACGCCCCTCACGAGGGCCGTAGCCCCATAGGAAGCCTCACCGAAGGCCCTAGCTGCAGGGTTCGCAAGGCGGTCTCGGGCGATTTCGGCACGCCCCTCACGCGCTGGACGAAGGCCCCATTTGCAGCGCTCGCATGCGTCCCACGCTCATTTCGGCACACCCCACGCACGTTTCGGGCTCCCATCAGCGTTGCCGCGTGCTTCATGCTTTTTGCGGCTCGCTACTGATGATGAGAGGGGCATATCCTGCGATACTGGCAGCTGCAAAGGTCCTTCGCCAGGCTAAATGTGTTTGTTGTCAGTCGATTGTGGGACGGGTCAAACCACACGATGCGACGACCCGCTATTTTTCCATCCATCCTGTTGTGTTGGGTCCTCGATTTGAAGAGACAGTGTCCCGCGTTCCTCGCTTCTCATCCTCATCCTCCTCCCCCTCCTCCCTCCTCCCATCCCTGCCTCTGCCCTCCAGCACACCCTCGCACGGTTCGTGGCCTGATAAGGAGCTCCACCGAAGGCCTCAGTGGCAGGGTTCGCATGTCGGCCTCTGGCTATTTCGGCGCACCCCTCATGAGGATCGTTGCCCCATAGGGCGCTCCACCGAAGGCCCCACTGGCAGGGTACGCATGGCGGTCTCGGGCTATTTCGGCACCCCCCTCACGAGGATCGTGGCCCCACACCGCGTTCTTCTCCTCTCCTCCTCCTCCTCCTCCCCCTCCTCCCTCCTCCCATCCCTGCATCTGCCCATCCCTGCCCCTGCCCTCAGCATGTCAACCATTCGGCACACCCTCGCACGGTTCGTGGCCCGATAGGGAGCTCCACCGAAGGCCTCAGTTGCAGGGTTCGCATGGCGGCCTCGGGCCATCTCGGCACACCTCTCACAGGGATCGTCGTCCCATAGGGAGCTCCACCGAAGGCACAGGCGGCCTTGGGCTATTTCGGCGCACCCCTCAGGAGGATCGTTGCCCCATAGGGCGCTCCACCGCAGGCCCCAGTGGCAGGGTTCGCATGGCGGCCTCGGGCTATTTCGGCACACCCCTCACGAGGATCGTGGCCCCACACCGCGTTCCTCTTCTCTCCTCCTCTTCCCCCTCCTCCCTCCTCCCATCCCTGCCTCTGCCCATCCCTGCCCCTGCCCTCAGCATGTCAACCATTCGGCACACCCTCGCACGGTTCGTGGTCCGATAGGGAGCTGCACCGAAGGCCTCAGTGGCAGGGTTCGCATGGCGGCCTCGGGCCATCTCGGCACACCTCTCACAGGGATCGTCGTCCCATAGGAGCTCCACCGAAGGCACAGGCGGCCTTGGGCTATTTCGGCACACCTCTCACGAGGATCGTGGCCCCACAGGGAGCCCCACCGAAACCGCCCCAGTGGCAGGGTTCGCATGGCGGCCTCTGGCTGTTTCGGCACACCCCTCACGAGGATCGTGGCCCCACAGGGAGCTCCACCGAAACCGCCCCAGTGGCAGGGATCGCATGGCGGCCTCGGGCTGTTTCGGCACACCCCTCACGAGGATCGTGGCCCCACAGGGAGCTCCACCGAAACCGCCCCAGTGGCAGGGTTCGCATGGCGGCCTCGGGCTGTTTCGGCACACCCCTCACGAGGATCGTGGCCCCACAGGGAGCTCCACCGAAACCGCCCCAGTGGCAGGGATCGCATGGCGGCCTCGGGCCATTTCGGCACACCCCTTGCGGGGATCGTGGCCCCACAGGAAACTCCACCGAAGGCCCCAGTGGTAGGGTTCGCAAGGCGGTCTCGGGCGATCTCGGCACACCCCTCACGAGGATCGTGGCCACATAGGGAGCTCCACCGAAGGCCCCAGTGGCAGGGATCGCATGGCGGCAGCCGGCGATTCCAGCACACCCGTCACGAGGGTCGTAGCCCCATAGGGAGCTCTACCGAAGGCCCCACTGGCAGGGTTCGCATGGCGGCCTCAGGCGATCTCGGCACACCCCTCACGAGGATCGTGGCCCCACAGGGAGCTCTGCCGAAGGTCCCAGTGGCAGGGTTCGCATGGCGGCCTCGGTTCGCATGGCGGGCTTTGCAGGTCCCCACACCCCACGCACGTTTCCGGGCTCCCATCCGCGTTGCCCCGTGCTCCATCCCTCTCGCGGCGCGCTACCTATGATGAGAGGGGCATATCCTGCGATACTCGCAGCGGTGGTTGGGTCCCTCGCCAGGCACATTTTTTTCACCGCTTGAACTCTCGCGGCCTCGGGCCCCCCTGGCAGGAGCCTTGAGAGGAGAGCAGCCTTGAGGCCCCCGGGGGCAACCAAAGTGTGGTGGCCAGCCGAGGAGGAGGAGGAGGAGGAGAGGAGGAGGGAGGAGGAGGAGGAGGAGGAGGGAGGAGGAGGAGGAGAGGAGGAGGAGGAGGAGGAGGAGGAGGAGGAGGAGGAGGAGGAGGAGGAGGAGGGAGGAGGAGGAGGAGGAGGAGGAGGAGGAGGAGGAGTAGGCAACCAAAGTGTGGTGGTCAGCCGACCATGGGCCACGGGCTGCTGCTGCTGCTGCTGCTGCTGCTGCTGTTGCTCTTCCTCATGACGACGGAGCTGTCCTCAAAGCGCACGCCTGCAGCGCAGTCAGTTGGAGAGCAGCATCGAGCGTGGCAGGTTCGCCCCGCCTCGACGCGGCGGCGACGCTGGGCGCGGGCGATCGAGGTTGAACATCCTCTGGTGGCCCGTCCAGATCACTGGGCACTGCAGAGAGCAGCCCTCGGTACGAACTCCACACGAACGACGGGGTCGAGGCATTTTGGAAGATCCTCGAGGAAGGATCCGAGGCGGGGACTTATCCATCACCACCGCCTGCAGAATCGATCTTCGCGGGCCTCCGCAGGCGGTGGGTATGGATATGTTCGGGCCCCCTGGGGGCCAGAATATATCCATATCCCCCGCCCGCTGGGGCCTCAGGACGTCAGTTCCCAGCCGGGCGGGTCGTCCTGCAGGGCCGTCGTCGTCGTCGTCGTCGTCGTCGTCGTCGTCGTCGTCGTCGTCGTCGTCGTCGTCGTCGTCGTGGTCGTCGTCGTGGTCGTCGTCGTCGTCGTCGTCGTCAAGTAATCGTCGTCGTCGCCGAGGGGTCGTCGTCGTCGTCGTCGTCGTCGTCGTCGGCCTCGCAGAGGGGACCATGCGGGGCTGAGAACCTCACGCGGTGTCAGAAGCCACGGCCCACGCTGCCGAGGCGGGAGCCCGCCGGTCGCGCGGGCGGCGCCGGCCCGCGACGACGAGCGGTGCCGGCTCTGCCTCTCCGTCGCCGAGGGCTGCTGCTGCAGTCGACACTGCGACCCAGAAGCAAGCGTTAAGTCGGGCCTGTCCCCCTACAGGAGGATTTTCGACGAAAAGTAAAAAAGACCCAAACACTAGTCAACAAAATAATCCAAAAATAGTCTGGGGACTATTTTTTGAGGATTTTTTGTTTTTTTTTGGGTGTTTTTGGAATATGTTTTATTTTTCGTCGAAAATCCCCCTGTAGGGGGACACGCCCGACTTAAAGCAAGCGACACCACCCCACCTACAGTCAACCCGCACAGTAAGGATGGGCAACCTTCCCAAGTGTACCCATGCATCCTTGCCTCCTCGGTCCATCCTTGGCCCTCTCTCGTTGGCCGCGCCCCTTGCGGAGCGTGCCGACATGGCCCCGACATGGCCTCCCAAGGCCCTCGCATCCTTCTCTTGCGTCCTTGCTGCACGGGTTGACTGTACGGTCCTCCATGTCGCGCTACGGCCCATCGGGCGCCGCAGCGTATACCACGCCAAAACCGACGCCAGATCTCTTGGTTTTCGCTGAGCCCCGTGGGGCCGTATGTGGGTCGGTGTCGTTTGTATTCTGGCCCAACACTGAAAGTAAGGATGAATGGTTTTCCAAAGTCACCTTTGCATCCTTTCCCTTCGGCCCATCCTCCACCACTTTCACTGGCCGCGCCCCGCTCGAGAAGCTTCGTCGTGGACGTCCAAGGGACTCGCATCCTCATCGCGCAACCTTGCTACAGTTTTGATTGTACCTCTTCCCAGATATCCGCTGTCACGACGTTTTCGTAACGTGGGCCACTGGGAGCTCTCGACCCCACCTACGGGACCAGTCTTCTCATCCTGGGGCCCGAAACGTGCCTCCTGAACGTTGCGAGCGTGGGGAAGCCCGCCGCCGCAGTTTTTGCCTGACACCGGCTGGGGCTCCTTACAAGAATGGACCCCCGAGACCCGTCATGGGACTCGCTCTGGCCTGCATTCCAGGGCCGACCCGGCCGTGGCGACGAGGGCGCCCCCAGAGGCCCCCACAGGCAAGGGAGCACAAGAGATCCTGAGACCCTCGATCCTCAGTCCTCCATCCGCCATCGTGACGCTGGAGGTCTGCGTCCTCTTCGTCTCTCCGCGGGGCTGCCCTCGGAGCGAGCCCGCGAGAGGCAACGCAAGCAGCAGCTGGAGGGCGAGAACGAGGCCCTCGCGGCGGAGCTGGAGAGGCCCGACCTGCAGGTTGGCGGGCGGGTCCCCTTTGTCGCTGGGAGGGGGGCACGCAACGAGGAGGGGGACGAGGAGGAGGATGCGGGGGTAGTGGTGGTGGTAGTGGTAGTCGGAGTGGCAGTGGTCTCAGTAAGAGCAGTGCTATAATTATTCTTATTATTATCAGTAGTAGCAGTAATAGTAGTAGTAGTAGTAGTAGTAGTAGTAGTAGTAGTAGTAGTAGTAGTAGTAGTAGTAGTAGTAGTAGTAGTAGTAGTAGTAGTAGTAGCAGTAGTAGTAGTAGTAGTAGTAGCAGCAGTAGTGGTAGTAGTAATGATGATATTATTCTCTTGCACAGGGTGTCTGGAGCTCCGACCACTTTATTTCGGCACCGCACCCCCCCATCATCATCATCATCATCATCATCATCATCATCATCATCATCATCATCATCATCATCATCATCATCATCATCATCATCATCATCATCATCATCATCATCATCATCATCATCATCATCATCATCATCATCATCATCATCATCATCATCATCATCATCATCATCATCATCATCATCATCATCATCATCATCATCATCATCATCATCATCACCATCATCCTCACCATCATCACCATCATAATCACCATCAGCATCATCATCATCCACATCATCATCATCATGCGCCCCCTCAGTCTCAGCGCCCTCCCGCGGCTCCAGCGCCCGCCCAGCGCCCCCTCCGCCCCGACCACTTTATTCCGGCACCGCACCCCCCCCCCCGCTCCGCCCCCTCCCCCGCGCCGTCTCAGCGCCCCCCCGCGGTTCCTGCGCCCGCCCAGCGCCCCCTCCGCCCCGACCACTTTATTTCGGCACCGCACCCCCCCCCCCGCTCCGCCCCCTCCCCCGCGCCGTCTCAGCGCCCCTGCGCGGCCCCAGCGCCCGCCCAGTGCCCCCTCCGCCCCGACCACTGTATTTCTGCACCGCATCCCCCCTCCCCGCTCCGCCCCCTCCCCCGCGCCGTCTCAGCGCACCCGCGCGGCTCCAGGTCCGCCCAGTGCCCCCTCGCCCGACACTTTTATTTTCGG